AAATCTTTACAGCAGAGCGTGGTTCTGATATTGAACACGCTAGAGGCGAAGCATTTATATTTGTTTTGTGGAACTTATTTGTTTGGAACGGAATCGCGCGTTAAGTGAAATTTGAAATGGCAGCACGTGATGAGAACACAAAGTATTAAAGTTAAAACTTTTAACGGTAAAAACTTTTCTCTGTTTAAGCGCCGTGTTGAAGCTGTGTTTGCAGCCAAAGAACTTGATAAATATTTAGACGTTGAAGCGGATGAAACGAAAGTTGCTGAAATCAAAGATGCAAAAAGGCTTACGCATTGCTGCTAACCCTTCTAGATGATGCCATATTGGCGACCATGTCGAGTGAATCTTCTGCATGTGAAATTTGGAGCAGTTTAAAGAATAAATAAATACCATAAGGTGAGTGCAGTTAGTCAAATATTAGTACGAAAGAAATTATCGACACTGAAGAAACGCCGAGATTGCAGTATGCAGTCACATATTAACGAACTGTTGGCGATCGTAAATGAACTGCGGCTCTCGGGTGCTGAAGTCAAAGATATGGATGTGATTATTTATTTGTTGATGTCGCTACCTTCTGAGTACGACATTATTAAATCGACGATTGAGAACCAGCCAAATGAAATGCTTACGCTGGACTTTGTTATGCAAAGGCTCTTGAATGCTGAAGAATTGCAAGGTGAGAGAAATTCTTTCTTACGATTCTCGTATTTCTGGCTCAAGTAATAACGTAGCTTTTAGCGCTGATAAGCGTGATATCATCTTCTGCCACAAATGTAAAAGTAAAGGTCATATTGCCAAGCTTTGCAAGAAAAAATTAGTTTGTTTTGGATGTGGACGCCCAGGGCATTACAGGAAGGATTGCAGATTTAAGCATAAATCAGATTATAGAGAATCGGCTGCAGTAACATTCATGCTTGGTGAGCCTGTTGGAAATTTTTTTCTGGATTCTGGAGCATCTACACACATGTGTAATAAAGGTGAGTGGTTTGAAGAAATTAAACCTTTTTCTGGAACTGTTGCATGTGCTTCGAAAAATGATGTTTTAAAGGTAGAAGGTATTGGTAGGTATTGGTACAGTACCTGGAACATTAAATGGAAGAGAAATATTACTTAAAGATGTGTTATATGTGCCTGAGTTGAACGGTCAATTAATATCTGTGAAGAATATTCAAAAAGCAGGTTACAGTGTAATTTTTAAGAATGATGTAGCTGTTATTGAAAAGAGGAATGAAAAATTTAAGTTTGCTAAACTCAATGAGAAAGGACAGTATGTGAGTCAATTTGAACCTGTTAAAGCTTCAACATACATTGCAAATCATAGTGCAGAATTATGGCACAGGTGCATGGGGCACTCATCTGATAAAATATTAAAAGAAATGGGTTTGCCAGTATCTGAGTCACCTTCAAGCTTTTGTGAAGAGTGCGTACTAGCAAAACATTCCAACACTCCTATGAACAAAGGTCCTAGAAGCAGAGAGCATGTGCCGATGAGAATGGTACACACTGACATATGTGGTCCCATTGATCCACCCACTAGGGAAGGTGAAAAGTATTTTGCTACAATCATAGATGATTTTTCTAGATTTACTGAAGTGCATCTCTTAAAGCACAAGAGTGACATAAATGAAGTGTTTAAATTGTTCCTAAAGCAGAATCCTGATGTCTACAAAATTCGGTGTGATAATGCCAAGGAATACGTGTCTGGTGAACTAGCTCGTTATTGCAAGAAAAATGGTGTTATGATAGATCCTGCTCCTCCATATTCACCTCCTTTAAATGGTGTGGCTGAGAGAGCCAACAGATATCTTTTAGAGAAGGCCCGAGCTCTAATATGTGAAGCAAAGCTTTCTAAATCCTCCTTCTGGGGCTATGCTGTACAGACAGCTGCATATCTTAAGAATAGAATTCCAAATCAGACTGTTGAAAATGTACCTTATAAGCTCAAATATGGGAAGCCGCCTGATTTGAATATTATTAAGGTGTTTGGATCTGATGCATACATGAGAGTTCCTGATAACTTAAGAAAGAAATTGGATCCAAAATCAAAAAAAGATGATTTTTATTGGATACTCTACCATGGGTTATCGTTTACTGGACCCAGTCACAAATCATGTTGTGGTTTCTCGAAATGTATTGTTCAATGAAGAGAAAAAGAAATGTATCTCAGTTCAAGATGATTTTTCCATAGAAAGTAAAGATCCTGCTAAAGATGAAGTAATATATGATTCAAGTGATGTAGAATCCAGAAATCTTGAAGAAAGTCATGAAGAAATTACTAGGCAAAGAAGAAATATAAAATTACCTGTAAAGTTGAATGAATGATTACTTTGTGTATGAAGCTAATGTGGCAACTGTTGATACAGTAACATATGAGGATATAACATCATTGCCAAACAGAAGAGCAAGTCCTATGGAGGAAAGCCATGGATGAGGAAATAGCTTCTCTTAATAAAAATAAAGTGTGTGGGAGTTAGTCAACTTGCCAAAGGATGAAAAGCCAATATCCTGTAAATGGGTGTTGCGCATCAAACGAAACAATGTTTACAAAGCTAGATTGGTTGCTCGTGGCTTTGAACAGAAGCCAGGTATTGATTACTTTGAGACCTATGCTCCTGTAATTAGTACATCATCACTTCGACTTGTGCTGGCTATCATTGTTCAAAAGAATCTTGAAATCTATGCATTAGATGTAAAGACTGCATTTCTGAATGGTGATCTCCAAGAAACAATCTACATGGAACAACCAATGGGCTACAGTGACAACAGTGGTCGTGTGTGCAAGCTTCTTAAGAGTCTTTATGGACTTAAGCAAGCACCGAGGCAGTGGTTCAAGAGATTTACTACTGATTTTATAATTCTGTTAAACTTCCAACAACTTAAACTGTGAAGCATGTACTTTTGTAAGAAGAACTAAACAGAGTGAAATATTTATTGTGCTGTATGTGGATGACTTGCTAATTGCTGGTTCTAATGATTCAGAGGTAAAAATTGTGATTGAATTACTTAGAAATGAATTTGAGATGTCCAAGGCTGAAGTTGCAAATGAATTTCTTGGAATAAGTTTTGAATATTCACAGAACAAACTTACTTTAGGACAAAAGGCCAAAAATCTTATGTTGAAAAATTGTTAAATAGATTTAGAATGTTAGATTGTAAGCCATCTGATACTCCTCCTAGTGCCTAAGTCAACTTTCATCAAATTTTGTGAATGGTGAAAGATTTCATGGCCCTTATTCGTGAACTTGTAGGTGCTTTGCTGTATCTATCTATGACAACTCGTCCTGATATTCTGTTTTCTGTGAACTGTCTGAGTCAGATACAAGAGAACAACCCACTAACAGTGCTTGGGCTGGTCTGAAGCAAATTTTCGATTCTTCTTCGATATTTAAAAGGGACATCTGAACTCAAATTATTATTTTGTAAATCTAATAGTGTTGATATTATGTTAAATGTTTATGTTGATGCTGATTGGGGGTCAGATACAAATGATAGAAAATTTTATTTCAGGGTATATTATTTTCTTTAATGATTGTCCTGTAACTTGGTCTGTTAAAAAGCAAACATCTATTGCTCTGTCCTCTACTGAGGCAGAAATTTTGGCTTTAGCAAAAGCTATTCAAGACCTAACTGTATTTTATAATGTATCTAAAGAAATTTTAGGAGTCGACAATATTAAAGTTTCAGTTTATGAGGATAATCAGTCTGTAATTAAAGCAATATTGAATGAAAGTAATTGTGCTAGACTAAAACATTTGGATATTAAATTAAAGTATATTAGGTATATTGTAAAATTGTACGATATAAATCTCGTATATGTTTCTAGTGAAAATCAGTTAGCTGATTTGTTTACAAAATGCTTGCCTAAACCAAGATTGTGTTATTTAAGAGATAAATGTAAAATAATATGTGATTAAGGGAGGGTGTTGAGAATAATCACACGTACTCCCCGTTCTTGTTAATGTCATGTATTTTAACTGTAACTGTTTTATACTTTTGCTTAGGTTGATCTGGCAACAGTTGTAGTAGTTCTTGGTCATGGTCTGTGATATGTAGAAACGTGCTGTGCCATGTGCGTGAAATTCCATCTTTTAATAAAGCCTCTACTTAATTATCATCAGCCTCTGATTCAACTTTTTTTAAATCTTTACATATAGAATGTATTTTGTAGCACATACAGGAAATATTTAAAAAAGTAGTAATGTTGTAATGTCAAAATGTACTTACTAAAAAACATGGTTGTAACATGCCCCATTTAAACATGTAACGTAGAACTTACTTTATTGCACATGCTGGAATACTTCAAAAAGTACCAAAGTTGTACATTCGGGTGTATATTCTAAAAAAATGATTGCAGCATGCACCACTTTAGCACATCTTGCATCTAAATGCATACAGCACTGTCCTAAAACAAATGGCACACTCTCTGAATGTGCTCAAAATGTTCTGGTACTGCTTAGGTACACTATGTACCTTGCAATAAAACTATTATTTATGAAACTTTGAAATAATCTGAACCAAATCTTAATTAATCTTCATTAATGTTTACCTGTTTAATGGAAGAATGTAAACAATGTAAAACAATGTAATTTACTTACATCAGCAGGTCCCAAGTTACTGGTTGTTTTGTCTGACGTAATATCATTCACTTTAAAGTTATATTAAGTTATATTGTGCATTTTCTGCTCAAAATAATAATAAAATTAATTACTTTGTAACTTCAGATGATTCACCATTTTATTCAAAATCATCCTTTAATTATAAGTTTCCTATAATTATTTATAAGTTTATCAATACATATTTTTGTCTCACAATATTACATTATTAGTATTCTTTTATAATTTCAGATTATCATTTTACAGATTTTCACCCACTGGCGTACTGCAATACTACCAACAGGGGGGGGGACATTAGATGTGCACAAACAAAGTTAGACAGCGGGCTACTTAAAAATGAACATGATTATTGAAACAATAAGTGGAAAACTTGATTTTTCTTACCGCACAACACAGCAAAGTAATATTAAATGACGAGGAACAAACATCGGATCACACATTAAGGGTGTATTACTTCGCATACAAGTGAGAAAAGCTTGCAAACGCTTCTTATTATCATCTGGACCGGATCCAAACCATAGACGTGATACAGTGGGAACTGGCCATCCCAAAGGCATGGAAGGCACGAGGTCAGGTTTGTTATATTTGTTAGACTTGGACCATATCCATTCTTTGATGAATATGTCAGGCACTTTTTCTGAAATTAACAAATGAACTTGGTTAAATTTCCTCAAATTAACCTACTGCAAGTTATGTACATCAAGGTTTAACTTTTTAGGAAAATTGCTTGCAAACTTTGGAACAAGCATGAAAGTTGAGACAATTAGCAAAGAGGTGGATTAACACACATCTTAGAATAGATACACAGATATGAGGTAATTTAGCAGTAGTTCAACTAATAGAGAAACCAGAAGCTGAAGGACTTTATATGGGGTGATTGTACAACCATGGGACAAATTTTGTGGCGTGTTTGAGCATACTAAAACATGTATTTTTTTATAGGAATGTAGGGTCTAAAAGACATATTAAGGGCCGAAAGCAAAAACATGACATGGGAGAAAAAATGTGTTCATTTACAAAATCAATGCAAAGTACTTCTTTGCAGCAATACAGTATTCACAAGAAATATTCAAAACTGTGACCGCGAACAATAATACATGCTTGATAGCATCATAGAAAGGATCAGAGAACACTTTAAAAATTGGCAGGCATTTCGCGCATGCTTGCAGCCACAATGGATAGTCGTGCAACAAAGCCCTCCAGTAAATAAACGTCAGTCTTGTACATAATGCCATTTAGATGCCTCATAAAAAGAAATCTATGCTGGATAAATCTGGCATACAGCATGGTCATTGGAGTGGTCCACTATGGTCAAAATTCACATCCAAGTAATTCCAGACCACAAGGTCGTAATGGGCTGGCACACCATCATGCTGGAACCATGCATAAGCCACAGCTGGATTATCCTGAAGCAATTCTGGTAAAGCCTCCTGCAGAAAAATGCAATAAAGTGAGCTATTGAGACATGTAGGTAGGAGGTATGGGACTATGAGGTACTGGTAAACAATACCCACCCATACATTCACAGAGAAGTTGATTTGGAATTCACGTGTACATATGGCATGTGGATTATCAGTAGCCCACATGACTGTTTTGCATATTGAAGATGCCTTCCTGTGTGAAAGTTGCCTTGTCTGTGAATAGCACATCCAATGGGAAACCTGCACACTGCTGCAAGAACGAATAACAGAAATCAAAATGTAGAAAGTAATCTATCACTTGCAAGGGTAGCACTGTACACATGGTATGGGTGCAAACGATTTTCATGAACTACTCTCCTACATGATGGGTTGACTCAGATGCAGATGATGTGCAATAGTTCTCGTACTTCTGCGGTGTGTTTCAACCACAATGTTCAAGATGGATTCTTCCATGTGAGGTCGTCGTACAGTTCTTGTTCCAGTCCTACTCTCAGAGTAAGCAACAAATGATGTGTTTTGAAATGGTCTGATGCAACCACTCGAACATTTCATGCTACAGCACAGGTCTATTCGTTAACAGTTCCTGGTAGAAGTGTAGCACTGCCCTCATTCCCAATAGTAGTACCATACATTACATGCATGCCAGGCTTTTCACTATGTATGAACTCATTCATTATGCTTGAAATCACATTTAGTTGTGAATGACATTCTTCCATTGATGCATTGAATTGCAGTTTGCCCGGCTCACTACTGGCCTCTATCCACTGCATTGCCATCCAATCGCAGCTGCAGTTTGTATTACTGTTTGTGGTCGTAATTTTGACCATTTCTTGCATAACAAGTCCTCCAGTAAATAAACGTTAGTCTCTTACATAATGCCATTTAGATGCCTCATAAAAAGAAATCTATGCTGGATAAATATGGCATACAGCGTGGTCATTGGAGTGGTAGACTATGGTCAAAATTCACATTCAAGTAATTCCAGACCACAAGGTCGTAATTGGCTGGCACACCATCATGCTGGAACCATGCATAAGCCACAGCTGGATTATCCTGAAGCAATTCTGGTAAAGCCTCCTGCAGAAAAATACAATAAAGTGAGCTGCTGAGACATGTAGGTAGGAGGTATGGGACTATGAGGTACTGGTAAACAATACCCCACCGTATATTCACAGAGAAGTTGATTTGGAATTCACGTGTACATGTGGCGTGTGGATTATCAGTATTACTATATTTCTGCAACGATTCCTTCTGTGTCACTTTTTGCATTCGTGCACTTAAACATATCACTTTAAACTCTACATTTCCATACAAAAAATACAGGTTTTTTTGTATGCTCAACTACCCCTTCAAGTTTATCCCATGACCGTAGAATCACCCTGTAGGCAGATCAGCATAAGCCTTCAGTTAAATTTGAGAAAAGAATGTGAGAATCCATAACATTTACTCTGCTTTGTAAAATTAACATTAAATCCCTGCTTAACTAGGTTTAACTGACACATAGCATAAAAGAAGTGACAAAAAATACCACTGAATTAACAATCCTGAAAAACCACTGATTTTCATCTTTTTATTATTATTTTTTTCTTTTTTTACTGTTTAAATTATCTTAATTTTCTGGTTTAAATGCAGAGGTTATTGGATTTGTATGTTTCATTAACGTAGCAATAGGATTGTTAAAATAATGCCTTATAGCCTAAAAGGCCACAATGTGCCAGACAATCCTCAGAGATCTTATACCTTCATCAAATCAGATAAAACTTTTAACAGCAAGTAAAATAAAAATGCATTGATGGAAAGGTATTGGAGTTACAATGAACAGATGAATAAACCTCATACATGTAAATTCACATAAAATTAAATAAAATAATAAAGCATGAAACAGATAATTAACAGCATTAATAATCATATCATATAGAATAATAAAAAACTGTTTCTTTTAAGATAGAAAAAAAAAAAAAAGTTGAACACCTTTTCAATCAAATTGCCAAGTGGCATGTCTGATATATTCAAATACTTGTGCTAAAGTTTATTAAAATATGGACACTCTGTTAAAATGTGCTGACTTGGTAGATAGGCATTATAGTTTGAGCACAAGGATTCACTTTCAGCTTTTAAAAGATATATGTGCATAATTCAAAAGTGACCAGTTCTGAAAGATCTTAAAATAACTACCTCTTTTCAATTTTTGAGAACCTCCCAATGCTCCACATAGGGTTTTACACCTCTCAATATATTATTTACCAGCATGTCCTAGAGTAGTTGCCATTTATTAATGATTTTGCCCATTTATGACATTTTTAATATCACTAAAAGGAGCATGGCAGTTGGACACTGTCATAGTAGACTTCACTACAATGTCAGCCTTGCCATTTCCTCTTATTCCACATGATATCTGGAAAGCCAGCAGTAAAGAAACCCGTAGGAATACCTTCTAAAGTTTCGATAAAAGGTGTAAAATATCTACAAGCACAGGATTCTGGGCATCAGAAAATATCTTCAAAACTTTTACCACACTATATGATATAAATGATAAACATTATATTTCAGAAGAAGCTTTGCTATAAATGAGAGGACATGATAAACAACAATGAATTCAGCAGTTTGACATAGTTTCCAACTGTTAATGATGTACCAAACTGATTTTAGCTGCCTTTAAGCCATTTGTATATACATGACTACACCTGTATTTATTTATCTCTGTGCTTGACAAAAGGTTGCTTACATACAGCTTTGCTTATATCCTTCTTATGAAATTTGAGAAAGATGCTCAGAAACTGTATTTGCTCTTTTTTGCCTGAGAATTCCTCTTTCTTGCATTACAGCTATAAAAGTACAAAACTGACTACTATTACAAGGACCATTTTCAACACTAAAAGTGCAAGGGAAATGTTGAACAAATGGCAGAATCAAGAGCATGAAAGGTCTGATGCAGGCTGATGGAAGTAGATATCCTATCCCATTATTGCAGAGACAAAGGGCAATGGTGCTCAGTTATTACCTCAATTTGTGCAACCCTATGATTATTATCAGAACTTCCCTGAGTGAATAATAGCCATTACAGTCTTCTATTATGATAAAAGGTTCAAGCAGCTGCTCTTTTAAAGCATCTAAATCTCTTTGATGTGGGTACTTGGAGGCAAATAAAGAGACAAGCTTGAAACCAAGGTCCTTATATTTATTCAAATGGCAAAGGTAAGAGACCTACAAGTTTATAATATGCTCACCTAACAGGTTTGGTACATATGGTTTTATGGGGCAGTGTAAGCAATAGGCCTTAAAAACTTTTGGTATATCAGGCAAAGTTACAGTCTGGATTATGTGTTTCATATATATCAACTGACATCCTTTGCATACCTCAATCTGCTTAGCAGCACAGACATTTTGATGCAACAGCTCTGAGACAATTTCCTTTTCAGATATGAAGAATTTGTCAGTTTTGAGCAAAAACAGCAATTTATTTATCCATACTCTGAAACATTAACGCAAACTTCGTTGACTTCCTTAATACCAGGAGATCAAAGAATAGAATAGGAGAAACAGTTCCTATTAGTAGAATAGAACACAGCCAATTGATGTTCTTTGACTCTCTGATTACAGACTTTATATTTTTATCTATCAGAAATTTTTGGAAACTGCCTGTTGTGCAATTGATGACAAGCAACTGAAGGGGAACTTTTCCTGACTGGCATTTGTTTTTGTCTAGATTTCTTTTTGGTGGGTGGATAGTGAAGCCTTTTAATTTTTTATATTGGTTTAATTTTTAGTAGCCATATTAAAGAAAATCCTTTGCTTTTTCATTATACGGTATTTTAACTATAGAGAGATTGATTTCTGAGCTTTCTATCGTAAATTTAGAATTACCTGTTTATTTGGCATGCCTACTCTTGTTTGCATGCTAGCTGATTAAAAAATTTTAATTCACGGGCATAGGATAAGTTTTTCATGGCTCCATATCTGTTATTAATTTTTCTTCTGCACGTAAGATATTTTTGGTTACATTTACTGCCTAAACCTCCTTTTTTGAATTCCATTTAAGACATTGTTGCAGGAATGCAGTGTGGTCCCCTTTGAAATGTGCTCATAGTGGATAATCATCACAATTATCACTGTTGAGCTACCATAGAGCAATGTGCATAATGAGTTTACAATGACAGAATATTTGCCAATGAAAGCATCAGAAGAGGTTTAGTATGCAAGGTCTTAGAGAGCAGTT